GGTGAGATTAGAACCGCTGAACTGCAGATAACAGTCAGCTAAAGTGGCCTGCAGTACTGCACCCTAACCACTGCGCCACCTCAGCTCTAAGACACAGAGGAGAGGAGAGGAGCTCCAGAGACGAGCAATCCACCCCCACCAATCTTGAGAATGGAGTGGTGGGATCAGCGCAGGGCGACCTGATAACTTGGGTGCCCTGCCCCTCTTTAGAAGGGTCTCCTGGGGAATGAGATTTAAAGACACCCCAGGAACAAGTGTTGCCTTTTTCCAGTCCCACATGCTGTTACCAACGTCTTGATACTTTATTATGCCTTGCCTTGCCTTGCTTGGCTATGTGCAAGTTCGCAGTGACAGAGTTCTGCTCTGGGTTGTGCTGTAGTCCCAGTGACCTCTTCCTGTGATAAGGAGTCCTTGGAACCAAATTCCCTGAACTGTGGTTGCTCTCAGAACTGTGTTCCTCTCTGGACTAATTGCAGCCAGGAACTATTGGAGGTGGGCTAGGGTTAAGTTTAGAACTTTGCTCCTGGACTTGCAGTGAATGGTGGGACTTTTGGGGGAAAGTTGGAGCAATAAAAGTTCCGGCTCTGTTGCTACCATGCCCAGCCCCAGGTCATCACACAGCACAACAGAACACAAAGTTAAAGTTGCTAGTTGCTAGTTTCTGGGCAAGATTTAACTTGTACATATTTTAACATAATTGTTATGCTGTGTAGTATGCCTTATTTTAATTCTGATGTTTCTGACACAAATATTTTGCTTGGCAGAAGCTGAGGTAAGTAACAGGAGGTTATCCCGTTTAAGACAATGTTTCAAATCCAACTTCAGGATCTCATTGTGGACATGTCACAAGATACTTAGAAACTATTAAAGTTAAATTTATTTTCTTCTTCCGTAAAAGAAATTTGTGGAAGGTTCTTACTTCTATACGTAATTTGCATTCTAAGTACTCTGTGCTGTAGACTTACCACACTTCTTACACTGGATTCCAATACTTTAGCAACAAATGGCACAACATACAGCAATTCCTGCTGTCCTTTTACATAAGCTTCTAGCAGCAAAGATTTGACATCCAAGTCCTAAAATAAACAAATGATGAAGACAATGTCAGAAGCTAAATTGGTTTCTTTTACATATTTCATTTATTCTTTATATGTGCTGTGTTTGTAGGTCAATGCAGAAACCAGGGAACAAGAAAATATGCAAGGATCCTCACTGTGTGCAAGATGGGCTTATTCTTTGCCAGTGTTATCATCCCCAGCCAGTGACCCAGGTTCTTCAGCAACGAACGGTCTGAGAAGTTGGCAGCAGCTTTATCCGATGTAAGCAACACCTACGTTTTTTCCAACATAAGAGAGAGCTTTTGTCAACAAGGAGTGTAAATATGACATGATAGCAAAACTCTTCTGGGAATGCTCAAGCTATTCAGCATACTGTCTGATAAAGATTACAGCCTCAGCTCACTTCTTTGACACACGGGGGCCACTCTACTATGTTCTGCCATTCTGTGGCTTCTTGACCTGCGAATACATTACTCATAAGGACAATATCTGGGATTCCCATTTAACAAAAACATTCTGCACTTCATGTGATTGACACAATGGAAGGCCTTTGTTAATTAATGGAGCATAAATTGACTTCTTTGGTTTTCTCCATTTTCCAGTGTACATTATAAACAATGCCTTGTATGTCTTGCCATTTTCTAAAGCCATCTTGAACATCTGAGATCTGTTTTTCTTTTTGTGTAGGCCTCTAATTTGCATTGGATGGAGCTGATAACACCTTATTATGAACAGAAAAATAATGAAGGAGGGAGGAGTTATGTATGTTACATTACATAATCATGAGGAGTGGTTTGCTCACTTTAAATTAATGCACTCAATATCTGTTACACAATTGATCTACTCTTGCAAAGCGCAAGGATGAAAATATGACTGTGTATGGCACCCACCTTGATATTTCTGTATGTTTCATTCAAAACCATTTTATTAAATTCTGGATTTTTAAGAGTGTCAAGGAAATTTGAATAAAGACTATGGAAGTTTGGCTCAATGCTAACTCTCTTCATCACGAGATATTGTGAAACCCAAGGCATGAATTCTTCTTTCACCGTTTCCTTCAGTTCCTCAACCTGGCTCCATAAACAAAAAAGGAACAGAAAGGGATTAATGAAGTAATAGGACTGGAAATGATTCCATAACTCATATAGATGAGGGATTATAAAGATCTGAAATAAAACAATAACTCCTGAAAATTTTAAGTTGCCAAAATGTGTATTCTGTTTTGAATAAATTGCTCAAATACAAATTATACTACGGTATTTAAATGCTGCAAGTTTTCTTTTGAAAAACATTAAAATTTGTGGCACCTTGGTCTTTCCAAAAAGCCCCTTAGAACAATTGTGTTACTAAACACATATTTGCTTATGCACACCGATAGAATGAAGGTTTACAAAACAAAAACTTTAAAAACTCATCAATTGCAAATAAAATTGTTTTACAGGAAGCTGGCCTAAGATAACCTTTAACATCTTAAAATATATGGATATGTGGGAAAATAACAAGTGCAACGTTGAAGAAGTTCCAGATTTACATTTCAAAGACTGCTACATCAATATAACCATATTTAAACATTCCCAGGAAGAAACAGAAGAGTGGTGGAAAAAGAAAGCCTTCACGTATGCAAACAATATCAGGTCAGTTAGTCACTCCTTTTTTTGTATGTGACTATAACACAGGAAGTCTCTCTATACTCCCCTCCAAATCAGAGTTAAATTTGTACAATATTTACCTTCTGAGTCATGTTGGATTGAGACAAATTATTAAAGATAAAAGCAATCTTTTCTTGAACATTTTCAGGAGGTTCTACAATCCTCTCTGTTTGATCAGTGGCTACTAGCAGAGTATCAATGTTGGTTGTATTAATAGAAGGCTGCAAAAGACAAATCACATGAGTTAATGAATATGAGTTAATTTAATTAGGAATGCATTCACAGGCATTCTTAGATAACAGGAAGTCCCCAAAATGATACGATCCAGAGAGGCCTTGATGCCACACTCTACCGTGGCGAACAGAAACTAAAATCCTCCCTTGGAGAACCAACAATAAATGAAGTTTGCTAGATTCATGCAATGTAGCTGTTTAAGAGAAGCCTTTCTACATCCCAATGAAAGCAATAATCAAGAAGTCCAGTCAGATCTTCCTTGGCTTAACTGCTGTTATCTCTGGTTGTGCACAAAGACATGGAATGAGCTGATCATGGGAATCAATTCCTCTCATGGCCAGATTCCCTGGGAAGGGGGGGGGGAGACAACGATGATAGAGGGACACTTTAACCTGAAGAATTTCCATCCTTGTTTTAAAGCAAGACAACTGATAAGATATTTGAAGAGCTGCAAAGCAAAAAGGCAGGCAGAGAGCAGAATGTAGGCAATAATTGGTATAAGTAATACAATTGAGTTAATTATATACAGGGAGTCCTTAACTTACAACCACAACTGAGACCACTTTCTACTGCAAGGTAGCTATTAAGTGAATCACATCTGATTTTATGACTTATTTTGCCTTGATTGTTAAGCAAATCACTGCAGTTGTTAAGTGAATCACTAAGATCATTAAACGAATTCAGCTTTCCCCATTGCCTTTGTCCGTCAGAAGCCAGCTGGGAAAGTTGCAAAAGGAAGTCACATTTGGATTGTGTGACATGGGCATGCTGTCACGGTGGTAAGGACTGATTATAAATGGAGGACTACCTGAAAGGCATTAAATACAGCAAAGCAACTTGGCTGTTTGACTATGTCCTTATTTAAGGACCAAAGTTTTTGGTTTCAAATGACAAATTAAACAATTACATTCATTCATCCCAAACCTCCTTCATGTGCTTCCTGCTAGATGCATGGAAGCAAAGACTTACTGGCACATCTTTCTTGAAGCTGACTCGACCCACAGGCGCAATGGCTGTCTTTGCCACAGTGCTGGTGGTGGTGGCGGTGGTGACTACAGTGCTAACCTGGCCGGCGAGAGGCGTCTTTGCTGGGGCCTGGGCCTGGGCCTGAGCCTGGGCCAGGGCAATACTTCCAGGGGTGGTGATGGACCCCTGCATCTTCACAGGAGGATCTCTTGATTGCTGTCCATATTCAATGTACTTCAACAGACAAGGAAAGGTTGTTAAAATTCATAAACAACAATCCTTAATCCTAGAAGCCCTTGCAAAAATTTCTAATCTTGATATGTGACTAAATAAAATAGTTATTTTATTTCACGCATAACATCTACAGAGATCATGCAATCACTGATATACAAATTTGGTTTAAATGAAGTTTCAGCAAATACATAAATTTGTCTCAAACTACCAGCAGGAATATTGAAGTTTGCAAATACTAGAGGGAAGTTCTTGCATATTTCAAGAAAGCAAACAAAGAATCCAGGGGAAAAGCATTCTAAATCAAACAGCCTTGAAAAAAAACCCCAAAGGTTTCTGTAATGACTTAAGAAGCCAACTTCCATTTTGAACAAATAATGAATACAGAAATTCTGAAGTAATAGCATAATCTTTATAGTTGACCATATGTTTTTAATCCCAGGTAAAAAAAGTACAATAAGACTACTTCATACAGAAACCCTTCCAACTGGCATAAGATTAATGCAGAGGTCCTAAACCTTTTGGGCTTGTAGTATTACAAGACCATCAAAAACTTAACTCCCCTGTTCTTCTTCTGGGCAACAGGCATTTGTTCCACCCCTTTCATAATTCTTTATAAAACATCTGGCAAAAATTAGAAGGAGTTCAAGTAACTATAATACACTGAGAGTTAAAGCTACAGCAATTTTCCATGCAGAAACTTGTTTTCCTTCCCTTAAATGATGAGAGATTGTTGCAAAGAATTTTTACAATTCCTTACATGCCCCTTTGTGTTACTGAACACAAGCATAATTTGTTTCATATTGCTTTACTCCCCTTATTGATTTACTTTCCATAAATTTGTTAATACACACCTCCTGCAGGTGATGAGGGAACTGTATAAAGTGACTAATAGAAGCCAGGTGCTGACAATACTGAGGGTAGTCCTTCAATCTGTCAATAAAATTAGCTATTAGTAGTAGGAAATAAACAGTCTGAGCCACAACTATTAACACAATATAGAAAGAGTTAATATTTGCAAAAACAGCCATGCCATTGCCTCATGAATGTTTTGCTTCTGATCAGCAATTAAAAATAACCCGAGAGGGAAAGTCAAGGAGGGAAGTGACAAAAGCAGTATTGTAGCATTGCGACACAAGGTCTCCACCTTCGGTATATGCACCCTGATGTCCTATACATAAAGTCACATGACTGTGCAATAGTTAAACTCTGCTTTGATCATTTTGATGAAAGCATCAGATCCTGCAGACACCTTTGCCAACAATTACTTTAAAAAGACTGAGCTAATAGTTGTGACTACATGTTGCTAAGAAATAACCTATTGCAAACAAGCCAATTTATCAGGCAGAGGTTCATTTTTATAGCAAGGAAAATACAGCCACAGTAACAGATTTTCATATGTGACTGGAATCTTCAGCAAAGACCAACTCTGCAGAGATCATTTCCCCAAGAACTCTTATGGACAGAATATATTTCTTTTCATTTCAATATAACCAACAGTAAAATAATCCCGTGCTGTGGAGTGTCCAAGCCATACTGACCTTATAAATAGATAACTTTGGCATTCTTTTACTATGAGCACACTGGCCCACATTAAAAATGAAATTCTGTTGCCTGCTCTTAAAGGAAAGTATATATCTACTCACATATACACATGCTATATACATATATACCTGCACCACACATGCACGCACACACACCACATCCATTTTGAATACAAAGCTCACAAGATTAATGTTAAGTTTAATGGAATAAAACTGTAACTGAATCTAGTTGTTCTGCTTCCTCTCAGACGGTAACAAGGAAAACGGGTTGTGAAGAGGTGTAGTGTCCCAGAAAATCCTGCGGACTCTGCTCAAACAATGTTTATATGCTATGGCCTGGATAGAAGGAAGTGAACTACCAATTATCTTTTCTGCCATCCTCACCACTCTCCACCCCGCCTTCAATAATGCTTCCAAACCAGACAATAATGCAATATGACAGGATGCTCTCGATCGTTCCTATATAGAAAGTGGTAAGGACAGAGGAAGATGTTGTCTTATGCAATGCAGAAAATGCAGGCGCTGCTGTGCCTGCTTCACCAATATCTCACTGTCAAGCTAGTCTACTCTTGATGCTGTTAACCACCTCCACAGCTGAACCATTAATACATAGAGGTGTGTGGCTGTGGCTGTGCCTGCTTTTTCTGAAATTGATAATGATCTCTTTAGTTTTTTCTATGTTTTTTCTATGAGATGTTTTTGCTACACTAGTCCACTAAACCTTCTACCTCCTTGCCTGTTTGTCATCTTGAATAAGGCCCACTACTGTCATATCACCCGCAAACTTCACAATATGGTTGGCTCTAAACCTAGCACAACAGTCATGGGTCAATAAGATGAACAACAGCAGACTTAGCACACAGCCCTAGGAGACCTGTGTTGAAGAAAATGGTGTTAGAAATATTAGTCCCAACTCGCACATACTGGGATCTATCAATAAGAAAATTAAGAATCCAGTTGCACAAAGGAGTATTAAAGCCTAAAAGGCTCAGTTTGTTTACAAGATGCTGAGAGATGATTGTTCTATATGCGCTGCAGGAGAATCCAAGGAATGTGTTAATTTCGGTCTGCTTGCCCAGAGACTGAATTGAAGAATTCTTGACCACGCCTCCTCCACTTGGCAGCTCAGTTTTTCAATGAAGACATGGCAGGTCCGAGAGATAAAACCACATAAGTTGAATTCTAGAACATCGGCACCTAGTTCTAGTAGAGAACATGGAACGAGCTGGTCTTCGGGTGGGGTCTTTCTCCTGTGCACTACTTGAAGAATCCAAGGAATGGGATATGCCCAAGCATAATGTCCTAAGGGCGGGATGTAGACCGGTCCAGGGTCCCAGAGTCCGAGTGAACCGCCTGTAATACCTGCTTTCCAAAAGAAGCATCAGCTGAAGCTGGGTCAAGCCACGGTTGTAGCTACACTCCTGGTGGAGTGAGCCGCAATGCAGCGTGGCAAAGGTCTGGCTTGGATCTTGTATGTTTTGGATATACAGGCCTTTAATTACTGACCTATGGTGGAAGAAGACACCTTCTGACTTATAGAGCCTGGCTGGAAAGCACTGAGTAAGGAGTCAGTCTTTCTGAAGGATGCTGTGTGCTTGACGTACTGCCGTAGGGGCCTCCGAACATCGAGGTGATGCCATTTCTGCTCGAGTGGATGTATTAGATGAGGACAGAAGTCAGGAAGTACAATTTCTTGGGCTCTATGAAACCACAAATTGACCTTTGTCAAGAAGGAAGTATCAAGTCATAGGACCACTCTGTCAGGGTGAAAAATGCAGAGGTCATCGCAGACCAAAAGGGCCGCCAGTTCAGAGATCCTTCTGGCCAAAGAAATGGCCACGAGAAAAACCACTTTAAAAGTCAGAAAGCAACTTTGATGGTACATATGGGCTTAAATGGAGCCAATGTAAGGGCCTAAAGAATGAAAGACAGGTCCCAAGACAGATAACAATGCACCACAGGTGGCCTAAGATTTGAAGCTACCCTCAAAAAGGCCGTACCCTAGGATGATGAGCCAGGGTGTGACTGGTCTTACTCGGAAAAAAAGTCGAAAGCACCGCCAATTGCCTTCTCAGAGTGTTGATCACCAGTCCCCTGCCTAGTCTGTCTTGCAGTAACTCCAACACCTGCGGAATAGAAGCAGTCCTTGGAATGATTCTATGGGGACGGCACCATTTGCAGAAGGCAGACCATGCTGCGTTGTAAATACACATGGTAGAGGGCCGCCTGGATGGTCTGGATGACCTGTCTAGAAAAGTTGTCCCGTTTCAGGATATCCCCTTCAAGTGCCAGACGGCCAATTGAAGCCACTGTGGCTCCCGGTGGAGTAGGACCCCATGGCTGAGGGATATTCTGTCGTCCAGGATTCTCCAGGATCTGGCAATGGAGAGACTGACCAGGTTGCCGTAACAAGAGCGACATGGCCAGTGGGGGAAACGAGCAATACTTCTGCCCTCTCCACCAGTATCTTGCGAATCACCCTCCGGATTAGCGGGAGAGGTGGAAAAGCGTACAACAGCCTGAGGCCAGGGACCACGAAGGGCGTTGATCCCTTCCGCCCTGGGAGTTGAAGAACCGTGGTAAGTGGGCATTCTCTAAGGCTCGTTGCCTGTGCTGGGCATCTTTATTGGCCACAGCAGCCTTGGACTTAGCCTTAGATCTGCCGGATGTGCCCCTTGTAGAGAGCCTTCCTACCCTGGCAAATGAGGTTGCCGGCAATGGTGAGCTTTCGGGAGAAACCTCTGCACCAGCCACGTGAGCAGTCATCCGATCTGCCATTGTTGTGAACTGATAGCCTCCCAGGGTGGTAGGGTAAATGCAAACCTGTAACCGACACCCTGTGATCCTAACTGCCAAGTTATAAAATGGCCACTCAGTGCGGTAACTCCGCTAGACAAGTCAGAGGTAGACACTGTGAGAAGATCGGCTGGAGAAAGATTGACTCTCAAGGCAAATGGAACCAACCGTAACGGAAAAACAAAGCGAGATCGCAACCACGCTGTCGTTCTTGTTGTTGCCTTGCTTGAAATGCACTTTGGGGAGACAAAATGGTGGCTGCAACATGTAATAGGTTGTTTGGCACCAAAAAAAAGCTGGGAAATTCAAATTACAGGAAGCAAGACACAGCTGCAGCAAGGCGCCACCAACGCAGACAGGTGACTCGAAGATGGCGCACCAAGCTTCAGAACACACCAAAAAAACACACGACGCACACTTTAGAGCCAGGAAGGACCCGAGAACAGCGTACCGATCTCTCAGCACCCGGGAAAAACAATTAGCAGTGAACGGGCTAGCCCAAGCGATCAGACAATAGCGCCCTGGCTGCAAAATCTGTCTATCCGGACCTGGAAATGAAAACGTGGTGGCGGTCATTTCTGGCAGACCGGGGAAAACCAGCAGTCTCACTTCAGCACCCCACTAACATCAGACAACTAGGCTAAATAGATAACCAGTGCACTGCAAAAATAATCCAATTCTTTGAAATATTGCCAACTGAGCTGGAGAAAACTTGATTACATCTCTCGGACCAGTCATGCCTTCATTGAAAAACTGAGCTGCCAAGTAGAGGAGACGTGGTCAAGATTTCTTCAATTCAGTTTCTGGGCAAGCAGACCGAAACTAACCCATTCCTTGGATTCTCCAAGCAGCACAGGAGAATGAGTGTTTCTTTCCTCTAAGTGTGCCAAGCTCAGATGGAGAACAGAAGAAATAGCATGCTCTGTAGAGTGATTTGGAGGGTAAGCAAAGTGAAGCAAGTCAAATGCTGGAGGGAGACTGGATACAATCAGCCTTCCAAAACATTCCATTATGATGGATGTACCTTTTTTTTGGAGTATAAGACACCTTAGTTTTTGAGGAGGAAAATAAGAAAAAAAAAATCTGCCTGTCTACCAGGTATTCATCTGGCTAGCGTCCTCAGCCTGGTCGGCTTCAGCACATTAGTTCACTGGTTGTGAGCTGTAGTTGAGGGTGATAAGCAAGTTTCAAAAGCACAGCTGATCATCGCAGAAATGGTCTTTCTCCTGTGGGCTGCTTGGAAAATCCAAGCATGGGATATGGCAAAGCATAGATTCGTAAGGATGGAAGCTAGATTGGTCCAGGGTCTCAGAATTGGAAAGAACCCTCTGCAGCACATGTGACCCGAATGAATCCAGTTTACAATGCTTGATGAATTGCGATGGGAATGACCAGGTTGCTGCCCTGCAGATCTCTACAACAGAAGGTTGCGTTGCCCAGGCTGCAGTGGTAGCTGCACTCTTGGTGGAGTGAGCTGTGATACGCCAAGGCCTGACCTGGGCTATGCACACCTTCAACCAGCGCACCACTGTGTTAGGTGTTATCTTCTGACCCATAAAT